AAAAAATCATAATAATCATAATAATAATAATAATAATAATAATAATAATAATAATAATAATAATGAAAGGAAAGAAATGGGGGTCACTGTACTAGTTTTTGAGATAAGGTGCATTGAAGATTGTGCGTTTTAGAACCTTTTTTTGTTTTAAGATAATCTTAGCTTACCACTGTGAGCAATAAAAGAGGCTACATTCCTGAAATTTAGATCAGGCTAATGTAGTCAATTCAACAAAACTTCAGTTGAACCTCTATTAAGCAGCCCAATCTATTGAGTGACCAGTCAGTCACCTTATGGTTGTCCCCTATTAAACAGCCACCCAAAATTTAATACCCATAGTTTAGCTCTGTTTTGGAAAAAATGATGACAACAAATTATTTCAAAATATTAAATTCAATTCTGATAGCCACAGGATAAAATGTTGCATATTGTACAGAGATATTTGTGTACCAATATTGTCTGTAATTGTCAGATTTAAAAACTGATGCCAGTCAAAATGCCATTGGGACAAAAATGAGCCCAATTAAATGCAGATCTCTAGACATGCATAATGATCATTAATATAGTTCTTAGTTTGAAAGGAAACTGGTCATGACCCGTTTGTAAGTCTACATTGTATAACTGCAGGAGCAAGTTGATGCAAATATCCCCCTGACAAGTGAGGTTATACAATATGCTCTTGATCAAATGAGAGGAGCTGTGATGATTGTGTATCCCATGGGACTACCTCCTCACGACCCAATCAAACAAGAGCTGGAAAATACTGAAGACTTATCAGGAACACAGGTGAGGTCTAAAACAGATGTACATGTATTCTAAATGTATATATGTAACTTAAAATGGATGTATGTCTTTAAATATATTTAATAATACATGCACGTATATAATATCCTTTCAGCCATAGGTGTAAATTAACTCAGGAAGTTGAAATTTTAGAGCAAATAATGTGTGCCGGACAATGACATCGTACAACATGGCGGCTATACTCCAGCTAAAAGGTTGACTGAGGCGTGCAGCCTTGGTTTACAGCCTACATATTTGATATTAAACATCCATCTTATGGTCAATTGACAGCTGTCAAAAAAAGGTGTCTGCTGATCAGTATCATGTGACCATGTCATGGGCTCAGGTTTAGAGCTCATCAAGATCACATGTTACTTTTAAAAGTTGACCGCTGACCAGGTACTGGTTTCCAATTGGATCGCGGGCTCATGCCAGGTTAACTTGTTAATCAGGGCTGGATGATTCGGAAGGTTTACAAATGTTTTTCACTGCTTCTGTCTTGTGTAGTTTGAGATTATTGAAACTCAAAACAGAAGGCCAAACAAAATAAACAGTAAACCTCACTACAAAGTTACAAACTCAGATCAAAATTGTCCCTTATCCTGGGTTAGCTTAATTGGTATTTGAACAGCCCGACCCAGAAGCTCCTCGTTTAGGCTTGGCTAAATCTACAGTTTATACAGTTGAACCTCTATTAAGCGGCCCCCTATTAAGTGACCAACCTTTATTTGGCAGCCTGGTCTGGTCAGAGTCCCAGAAAAATTGTCAGCTATACACTGTAACAAAAACCTCTA